TATGGTAAAAATAAACACAGAACTCAAAAATTCTCGAAAAATCCGAAAAAAAATCATAACTCCTAAACTAAACAAAATCGGACCATATATATGGGGGTGATTTGGGTTCCTCTCGATGTGGGGAATCTAATTTTTTTTTTTATGACGTCACGTGTTTGGCCACCCTGTATATATAACTTGAGAACTTCGACTCTTCACAACCATAATTAGAATCTGTGTTTTGGCCGATTCCACCAGTAAATTTCATTCCACTCAAAATATAATAATTCTCTTCTCACGATTTATTAATAATTGTTAATTTAAATTCCCATTAATTAAAATATAGTTTATTCAACTGCCTCTGGTCGGTTTAACAAATTCTTACATAAAATTCTGAAAATCACATCATCTGAAGTGATTTGGCAACGTTTGGCACACGCCCACAATTCGTTCCATCTTTCAACACTGACATTGACATCCTTCGGCCTTCTGTCAAAGGGTTTCATCTCACTCATTATTCCATGACCACTAATTTGTGCAATCATCAAGTGGCTTCACGATGTAATGCTCTAATGTTTTTTAAATAATTTTTAATCTGTTTTTAACTTGTTCTTGTCATATTTTATATAATTTTGACCATTGTACAATCTATCCAGCTCTCACCATGTTACTGGACGTTTCCCTCATCCTATACGTAAACAACAATTAGCAACATCCTCACATACTACTGTAAGTTGAGTCAATTTAAATTCATTTTACACTTTTGTTGCTACTGTTATCATTGTAATTGCAGCTCCTGATGATGATGGCAAAGTCCATTGAAAGCTAGAGAGAATTAAAAAAAGTATAAAGAGTCCTCTTTGCTTAAATTTTGTCGAAGTACCCAACAAAAGGCGGAAGCTTTAATTTTTCACCTATATATATTATAGTTTCCGCATATGAAAATAAAGTTAAAAGGGAAACGGTTTTCTAACGATGAGGACCTTCTTAGGGACGAAGTCGTTAAATAAAGCTGTATTGCAAAACTTTTATGTACCCTTTGTATATACCAAATAATAACTAATGAACAGGACAGAAAAAAATATGTAAACGAATAATTCTACAAAATTGACATTGCATCATTAATGCTAAATAAATCTCCAAAAAACAAACAAACAAACCTGCAATTTCCGGCGTCTTTCCTCTGAACCCGGAGCTGCCGCAGTAACAAGCTAAATTCGCCAACTCCATGTTATCTTGAGCTTCCACTTGAGGCAAGCTAGGCCAGACTGTTATCTGGTTGTGACTGAGATCCAACTGCTTTAGCGAACTCGGATAACTGGTTATATGCGACATAGACCTCAGCGAATTGAACGCCATGTTGAGCCTGGTTAGGTTCACAGCAAGACACGGAAGGACACAGGGAATGCTAGTAAACAGGTTATGAGCGAGATTCAGAGACGAGAGCTGGGACGAATACTCTGACGTCGTCTCATCGTTGTGAAGGATCTGCTCAGTTACTTCCACGCTCTTGCTCCAAATGTGGTGTTTGCTGAGATCCATTTGGCTAAAATTTGAAAGATGCGCTAGAATCTACAGTATATTCAGATAAGAGATAGACCGGACATAAACAAGTCCACGTGATCATCGAACGCTGTAACATTCGGCAGGGACGTATTAAGAGTCTCGCAGTACATATTTTAGATAGTAGATGCTGCTTTGCGTAACTTTGTAGTAAATTAGCACAATTCGATGTGTATACGATTGGTGATGGATATAGGATCGTGTGGGGGTGGGGTAAGAAATATATAATGATGTAAATATACATAAGGGTTTCAAAATTTTCGCTTCGATTTCCAGCTTCGGATGCCGCCTGATGTTTGGTGAAATACAGTCGAATATAATCTCAAAATGGCGTTTAAATTAGCCTAAATTAAAAATAATCGTATATCTCTTAACATTGCTTTTAGAATATTGATTAGTATATTTTTTGATTTCTAGGTAAATATGTAACCAAATTAAAACGTTCAAAACGTAAAAAAATGTGCATGGTTGAACATTGTCAGAAAGTAGATTCTTGAATAGGTTTTGCCAAAATGGGTTCAAAAATGTCAATAATTAAAAAATACAGTAGCTTTATAATTACTTATAACTTACCGAATTTGATGAACGACATCTTTTATTGGAAAGATGAGCTTTCATCATCGTTACTGCCTGAAGCACCAACGTCAATAATGAATGGCTCGACTTGTTCCTCTAAAATATTGTCCAGTTCCCACATTCTCTTTTCAACTTTGTCTTTCACGTGCTTAATACAGTTTTCCCATTTTTGCGCTGTTATTAATTCTAGTGCTTCTTTGAAAAGTCCTTTGAGGTCACAAAATTTAAAAGTTGTATTGTGCTTAGCTATATAATTTTTAACCTCTGCCCATATGAGCTCAATGGGATTGAGCTCGCAATGGTATGGAGGTAAACGGAGCACAGTTTTATTTTGACTTGCTGCCATTTCGTCAATGGTGTATTTTTGATATTCCGCCTTGTGATCCTTGACAATTCTTAATAATTGTACTTTCAGCATTGCTTCTTCAAAGTTGATATTTTTCGAGCGGAGCCAATTTTGAACATCAACTTTCCTTGAAGCCGTTGTTGGGACCTTCTCAATTCTTCGAGAATGATAAGGCGCATTATCCAACACAATTACTGCGTTTTCCTCTAAGTTCGGTAAAATTTTTGAAAACCACTGTTCAAACGATTCGCCATTCATTTCCTCGTGGTAATCTCCAGTTTTCTTAAGACTCAAAGCACCACCGACCGTCAAGAACAAATCCATCCTCACTGCCAATATGGCAGATAATGAGCCTTTTCCCTTTACCTGGAAATCGAAGTACTAACTGGTGTAGATTTATTTCAATAAGCGAACCTTTTTCAAATGTTTTCATCACATTCAGCGAAAAAACATTGAGACATGAGTATCAGATTGCTATAATTGGGATTATTTAGTCATATTGAAAGAAAGAATATTGAACGTCGTATGATTACTCAGCGCTTCACAATTTAATTTAAAGTTATAAACCTTTAACATTTAGGAACGGTCACAATATAAAACTTAGTAACTTTTTTTAAGTTTATAATATTCGACATATTTTAAGATTATATTAAAAAATTATTGAAATATCGAAAACACATAAAAACATGGCTTAAAAAAGTTCTAACAAATGAAAATGACAATAAAACATCCACGCATTTTATCGAAAGTTATAAAAGTTTTGTTACTTGTAATATGTTTTATCTGCCCCCTGGAATTAATGTTTAGAACCTTGTTCCCAAGGTTTGAAAAACATCCGATTGTTGTCTATTACTCGTATTTACCTGCTGGATTTTTTAATGCGGTGGACAGTCCATCTAGAAAGGCCCTCCTGGATGAAGTTACAGAATCATCAACCCATTCTCTACTTGTAGTGTGTCCTGCGTTTACCCACGTTTCATCAAGGTAATAAATCTTCCTGTTTTGATTTCTATATTTCCCAATTTTTGTTAAATAATCCCTCCTCCATAGCACAATTTCTTCTCTATCCTGTAGTAAACTATTACGACCCCGTTTTTTCCATTTGAAATTTAAATGCTTCAGTAACGCATGGAAAGTTGATCGTTTGAAATTTGGCAACGTTGTATCTCCATTTACCTCCTGCAGTACTTTATCTATAGTAGGTATTTCATTCCTAAAGAATTCATGCACTTTCCTCCTAATCGCATGCTTATCAGCTTCATCCAATGATTTAACAATACTTTTGCGATGTTTACTGGTCATTGGCTCAGGAAAGGTGTGATTTTTTTTGTATTGTCTTAACACATTAAACACTGATGCGCGACACACCCCAACTTTGTGAGAAACCTTCACAACAATTTCTTTGATGGTTGATGCCTCGTTCTCCTCGCGCTCGATCTTATATATATTCAAAATGACCTCTTTCATTTCTGCACTCAGGTGTCTTTTTTTAGAGCGTTTCCTAGGTGGACTACAGGAGTTTACAACTTCATCGGCAGTATCTGTACTACTGGGCATTTTGCGCAAGCAGTTGATAACAATAACAATCAATAACAAGGTATAACAATAACAACGACAAACTCAACAACTTAATAAGATAACAAACGAAAACGTCCAAAGAAATATCAAATTGCAATGATGCACACGACATACGTAACACGTCTGAACCTGAATGTGACTCTGCCTTGATACGACTGCTGTGCCGCTCGGCATAGGCATTTAATTGCGAATTGACCAATGAGGGCTCCTGTTTTACGTCGAGACGGCGGCGTTAGCGTGAAAATCACCCGAACCTTTTGTTTACATCCGGTCTATCTCTTATCTGAATATACTGTATGGTAGAACATCTACAGGGTGGCCCAACGAAAAGGTCGCACCCCCAGTTGTGACTCTCCTGGTATATTTTGAGGAAAAACGCTCGGACACGTCAATTTCGATTTCTAGGGGGGCGTCTTTTCATCTACAGCCAAAAAATGATACATTACGTTATACTTAAGATTTTTAAATTTTTGGATTTTCCATGAAGTTTTCAGTAACTTGTATAATAAAGTTTATACCCATCTTCAATCTTTGCGAGGAATTATATCGTGAAATAATAATTAATATACTCAAAAAAAGGACGACTAACAGAGTACAAGCACATTAAAGTTAAAGTAAACATTAATTTACTCTGAAAAGATAGGTCAATGTGTAATAATTGCTGAAAATGGTGTCTATTTATCTCAAGGGAATAATACAGATTTTGTTCGAATTAAGCATGTCTTGAGTTATTTGACTACAAATCAGCCGTAATCCGCTGACGAGGATCTTGAATGGAATCTGGCTTTGTACTAAAAAATTTACTTTTCAAATGTCCCCAAAGAAAGTAATCTAAAGGACTTGAGTCCGGAGATCTCGGCGATCACTCGATGGGGCCTCGTCTGCCGATCCACTGATTCGGGAAATGGGAGTCCAAACACTGTCGTACTGGAAATCAGTTTCCAGGGGGAAATGTTGCATACACTTTCAAAATTTCACAGCGTATCATTGAATTATCTAAGAAAAAAGTAAACAGTTTAAAATCAAATAACAACTGTGCCGAAATGACTACTAAAAACGTGCTGAAAAACTGTTTCGAAATTTTGGGATATCCTGTATTAAATTGGATCAATTGTTCACTGAGAAGCAGTTGTTTCCCTGAAAATTTGAAATGCTCTACAATAACACCAGTTCCCAAAATAAAAAATTCTAAAAGATGCAGCGATATGAGACCAGTAAATGTGTTACCCGACATTGAAAAATTATTAGAGTCCATAGTGCATGACCAATTAATGCAGTTTATAGAAGAAAACAAAATTAAAGTGGAGGCGCAAGCAGGCTTTCGAAAAAAATATTCCACAGAAACAGCTTTCCAGTTGGTAACTGAGAATTGGAGAAGAGCCATAGACTCAGAAGAAGTTGTCATAGCAGTATTTTTGGATTTGAAGAGGGCATTTGAAACGATTGATAGAGATATTTTGTTAGGTAAATTGAAGGCATATGGTATAACAGGAAGTGTTTTAGATTGGTTTAGAAATTATTTGTCTAAAAGGATGCAAGTTACAAAAGTTAATGACACTATTTCATCAAAAATTGAAAATACGTTGGGTGTTCCACAGGGCAGTATCCTGGGACCACTTCTTTTAATTATATACATAAATGATTTACCTGCCATAGTCAAAAAATGCAAAATTCAAATTTTCGCCGATGACACTATGATTTATATAAGTACTAAAAATATTCAGTCTGGTATCTCTTATATAAATGAAGACTTGAAGCTTGTCTCAAAATGGTTAGCATCTAACAGACTAAAATTAAATGCAAGTAAAACGAAAGCCTTGTTAATCGGAAAAAAACAATGTACAAATGTTCAACTGAATATTGATGGTGAAGATATTGAATTCGTAGAAAATTTTAAATACCTGGGAGTTTTTGTTGACTCTCGATTAATTTTTGATATTCATTATGAAAAAGTTATAAATAAGATTAGTAGTAAAGTGGGATATTTATCGAGAGTTTCTGGATGTCTGAGTTCATATAGCAGAAAAATTATCTATAATACCATCATTCTTCCAAATTTCTTATACTGTTCGACTATTCTATATTTAGCAAATAATTCCCTTTTTGAAAGACTGCAAATTTTACAAAATAAGTGCATGAGAATAATACTAAATAAAGATAAATATACTCCAATTAGGCAAATGCTTAGCAAATTAAAATGGCTCAATGTAAAATTTTTTATCAAATATCTTGTAATGATATTCATTTATAAAGTAAAAAATAATATATTTCCATCAAGTCTAACTAATTTAACATCATCAAATGTCGACCATCATTTACATAATACCAGAAATAAAAATGACTTTTAATTTAATGACCAAAAAGTATAACATATGCTACAAATCTGTATTCCATCAAGGGTTGATTGAATATAATAAATTATACTCGGGGATAAAAGACCAGAAAACTTTGACAAAATTTAAAGTAAAATTGAGAAATCACTTGTTAAATCTACAATTATAGGTTGCCCAGCATTTACATCATACACCATATGGCTTGAATTTACTAGTTCTAAGTTGTTTACAATTGTTCTGTTTATGTAGCCAAATGTGCTAAATAAATCTTTCTACTACTACTACTACATAGTGCGGCGGTGCACCATCTTGTTGGAAATTAATCTAATTTTTATTATAATGAATGTCATTTCCTATTATTTCGCTAATTCGTGGTTCTATTGTATTTTCTAACATGTTCAAGTGCGTCGGTCAAGTTTCGGAATAATGAAAAGTCCTACAATATGATTTTAGAAAATGCCGGTCCACACATTCATTTTTTTCAAGATATTCCGAGTGCACCTCCGAGAAACAAATATTAAATAACAGATTGTTGGTTAAACGTTGGGACATTAATTCGCAAAACTCCAACCTTCTATCTTCATTACCCTCAAGGACCAGTTTTATCCTGTACGATTGAAATTTATTGTCTTTAAAAATTGTTTGTACTGTTGTGCGTGTAAATCCTTAAGAAGTAGTCAGTCCACGAGCGCTTTAGGTGTTGTCAAGTGCTACGTGTCCCAAAACTGCTATTTCTGCGGCTTCATTTCTAACTTATTGATTTTCTCGATGGCGGTTACGGCGAATATTAGACACAAATCCAGTTTATTCAAATTTTCTTATCAACTTAGGCATATGTTTCTCGTTAATATTTTTGTTTGGATGTAACGCATTAAACAATCGGGCAGTAGCTCTTTCTAGGACATACGATGACACTGACTCATTCGACTTTTTTTTAGTGTGTTTATGAAAAACAGTATTATCGAAATTGCTCCACTGCGCACTTGGGAGATTTCAATATAAATTTTGATAAACAAGATTTTTATGTAAAAAAATTTAAACAGGTACTGAACTGTCATGGTCTATGGCAAAAAGTTAATAACTACACAAGGATTACAAACCTTTAACGAACTAAGATCGATTTAATAATAACCAATGAACAGAATTTGAGTATTAAGGTTTTACATACTCCAAAAATAAGCGACCATTCGTGGATATATGTCGAGGTGGAAAATATGCTTAATGAGAGAGAATCAAGTGAAATCACAATTATTGACTTCTAAACGTTACGAGAGTCACTCTTACAAGCCAATATCACTGAAATTTTTAATGATGCTGACACTTACTTCTCAAAAATTATGGATTGTATGGAGAACTGCATGAGAGGCGCACAAATTAGAAAAGTGGTATATCAAAGGAGGAAGCCAACACTCTGGTTTTCACAAATATTTCTAGACTCTAAATTGACGCGTGATAATGACTATAACAAGTTTATGATCACTCAAACTGAGGAAGATTGGATACAATTTAAGAAATCAAGAAACAAGTGTTTAACAAATCTTAGGAACGAAAAGAAAAAATATTATGAAAACAAAATGTGGAAGACACTAAAAAATATTGTATCTCCCAGTACGAAGAATGAATTATCAAGAATGTGTTTCGAAGATGGTATAGTAACACAAAAAATATTGATTGCAGAACGAATGAACGCTTATTTTATAGAAAGTATAAATAAGATAGTGGAATCAATCGAAGGTGGGGATCCAAATCTATGTCATATGCAAGTTACTTGTAATTCTTCTATGAGACAATTCCAAACAATAAATATCAGCCATCTTTCAAAAGCTATCACAAGATTGAAATCGAATAGAAATCCTAGTGAACATCTTTCAAAAATGGTTATGAAGGAATGTTTCAACATTATTCTAGAGAAGTTATTATTGTTAGTGAATCACTATTTAATGTATGGCGAATTTCCTTCAAAATTAAAATGTTCTACAATAATTACTCCTGTACCTAAAGTTATATACAAACATGCGGCCAATTAATGTACTGCCAGATGTCGAGAAGCTCTTAGAAGGAATCATTTATCTAAGAACGTAAGGTATTGACAAAATTTCAAGCAGGATTCAGAAGAAAGTATTCTACTGAAACAGCAATTCAAATGGTAGTAGAATAATGGAGGCGAAATATGGATGAAAAAAAGTTTACCGTAACATTGTTAGATTTCAAGAGAACATTTGAGAATATTGACAGGGAGAAATTGTTCGTTGGGTACTGCGGCAAAAATTTTAAGCAAAGAGGACTCTTTATACTTTTTTTATTCTCTATAGCTTTCAATGGACTTTGCCATCATCATCAGGAGAGTAGTATGTAAGGATGTTGCTAATTGTTGTTTACGTTCAGGATGAGGTAAACACCCAGTAACATGGTGAAAGCTGGATAAATGGTACAATGGTCAAAATTATATAAAATACACACAACTGTGTGACAAGAACAAGTTAAAAACAGATTCTTGTTTGTCGAAGTACCCAACAAAAGGCGGAAGCTTTAATTTTTCACCTAACTGGTCTAGACGACAATGACCACGTCTCAAGTTATATATATATATATACAGGGTGTCCCAGAAGTCGACGTCAAGCCGAAACCGGGTGGTAGGCAAAGTCATATCAGCTATCAGAAAAATATTTAAAAAAATTTTATGTATGTGTTTTGAAAACTATAGGTCTTTGAAAAAGATATAGAAATTTCACACCCTACGGCAGTCTGTCAACTCCTGTTACTACAAGTATTAACTTTTTTTTGGATTTTATTTTTACAATGTAATGATGAATAATTCATCTTCAAACTGGTGTCTCAAGCTTACTGCCAACTTTTCTCGTTCAGGAAAAATTGCCACTTATTTCCCAACCAAGTATTCCAAAGTAAAACTTTGCTCAACTTTAACTGGCTGTACTGGAAAAAAATGTACTACGACAGTTTGGCAAGTAACCTTAAAAGTTGGCGCATTTAATAACGATTCCAAAATGGTATAACACTTAGAAGATTACTCGTTAACTTATGCACAATTTTTATTTGAAAAAAAACTGATGAAATTTTTTCAAAATTTCCTAATTAAACAGCGATTATGAAAACGCACAAGGAACTTTAAGGATAACTTTTTGCACAACAGTGGGCGTCAAAATGCTGCTGATGATGATTTACCTTTACAGCAAATGCTCAAACTGTTTTCCTTCAGCCGCAATACACGCTCGACATCTTCTTAAAAAAGATCGGGTTATTAAACGAGCAAATCCACGGTTATTAACAAACTCAGCTGCTTCCAATATTCTTTGCCGTAGCTCAGCTACATTTTGAATCGGCTTGAAATACACTTTTTCTTTTACAGTTCCCCAGTAAAAAAATCTAAAGGATTCAAATCAGGTGATCGGGCTGGCCACGGTATTGTACCAGACCGCCTTATCCATCTGCCTGGAAAGTTTTGATCGAGATACTCTCTCACTGAGAGTGCATAGTGCGCTGGGCAGCCATCATGCTGAAACCACATGTCCCTGTAAATACTCAGTGGCACGCCCACCAATAAATTTTGTACATGATTTTCCAAAAAATCCAAATAAACTTCAGCAGTCAAAGTCTCTGGGAACTCAAACGGACCGATTATTTTACCATTTAAAATTCCTGTCCAATGGTTTATCTTGAAGCGATATTGAGATTTATCTTCTCTCATCAAATGTGGGTTTGCTACGTGCCACTCGTGTAAGTTATGCAGGTTCATGTACCCATCTTTCTTAAATGTGGTCTCATCCGACCATAAAATTTTTTCAAAGAACTGTGGATCTTTCCTGTGTCTTTCTAACATTGTGCGACAAAAAGCAACTCGGGGCTCATAATCCCGGGACAGAAGAGGTTGAACACGCTGTATGTGGCACATCACTTACTTGCTATTGCACACTTTGATACCGATCAGTACTCCTTCGTTTACTGCGCATCTTTACATGTTCGTGCTTGTTGATTTCGTACTGTTACTAATTTTGGATTCGTGAACTGGACTGTTGATCACTTGTGATTTGGATTTGGACTGTTTAATTGCTCTTCAAAACAATATTTGCTTTCCTTAGACTATCTTTGATAGTGTGATTGTGCAGTGCCGATGTCCGTGTACACCGTACATGCACCTCATTTATGGGGAATGCAGATGCAACGCTAGTGCTGCAGCGAGACTTTACTGTGAGAGGTACCCGAATGCAGCTCGTCATCCAGATCATCGAGTGTTCACAAATGTGCACCGCTTACTGTTCTCAGAGGGCCAACTACCAAACCAATCACACGGTGAGGGAAGATCATTCCTTCCTTACGAACACGTGGTGCTAGGAGCTGTCGAAGAAGACCCGAGTACTTCAGTGCGTGCAATAGAACTAAAAACAGGTGTGCCCAAAAGTACAGCCCATAGAATCTTGCAAAAAAACGTGCTCCATCCATACCACGTACAGAGTGTTCAAGCTCTTCTGCCCCGGGATTATGAGCCCCGAGTTGCTTTTTGTCGCACAATGTTAGAAAGACACAGGGAAGATCCACGGTTCTTTGAAAAAATTTTATGGTCAGATGAGACCACATTTAAGAAAGATGGGTACATCAACCTGCATAACTTACACGAGTGGCACGTAGCAAACGCACATTTGATGAGAGAAGATAAATCTCAATATCGCTTCAAGATAAACCATTGGACAGGAATTTTAAATGGTAAAATAATCGGTCCGTTTGAGTTCCCAGAGACTTTGACTGCTGAGGTTTATTTAGGTTTTTTGCAAAATCATTTAGAAAATGTATTGGAGGACGTGCCACTGAGTATTTACAGGGACATGTGGTTTCAGCATGATGGCTGCCCAGCGCACTATGCACTTTCAGTGAGAGAGTATCTCGATCAAAACTTTCCAGGCAGATGGATAGGGCGGTCTGGTACAATACCGTGGCCAGCCCGGTCACCAGATTTGAATCCGTTAGATTTTTTTTACTGGGGAAATGTAAAAGAAAAAATGTATTTCAAGCCGATTCAAAATGTAGCTGAGCTACGGCAAAGACTATTGGAAGCAGCTGAGTTTGTTAATAACCGTGGATTCGCTCGTTTAATAACCCGATCTTTTTTAAGAAGATGTCGAGCGGGTATTGCGGCTGAAGGAAAACAGTTTGAGCATTTGCTGTAAAGATAAATCATCATCAGCAGCATTTTGACGCCCACTGTTGTTCAAACAGTTATCCTTAAGGGTCCTTGTGCGTTTTCATAATCGCTGTTTAATTAGGAAATTTTGAAAAATTTTCATCAGTTTTTCCTCAAATAAAAATTGTGCATAAGTTAACGAGTAATCTTCTAAGTGTTATACCATTTTGGAATCCTTATTAAATGCGTCAACTTTTAAGGTTACTAGGCCAGACTCTCGTAGTACATTTTTTTCCAGTACAGCCAGTTAAAGTTGAGCAAAGTTTTACTTTGGAATACTTGGTTGGGAAATAAGTGGCAATTTTTCCTGAACGAGAAAAGTTGGCAGTAAGGTTGAGACACCAGTTTGAAGATGCATTATTCATCATTACATTGTAAAAATAAAATCCAAAAAAAGTTAATATTTGTAGTAACAGGAGTTGACAGACTGCCGTAGGGTGTGAAATTTCTATATTTTTTTCAAAGACCTATAATTTTCAAAACACATACATAAAATTTTTTAAATATTTTTCTGATAGCTGTTATGACTTTGCCTATCACCCAGTTTCGGCTTGACGTCGACTTCTGGGACACCCGGTATATATCAAAAAAAGACCTTGAAACTGCAATAGAGTTGTTAAATAATGATATGAAAAACGTAATAATTTGGTTAAATAAATTTAAACTAAACACAAACAAAACAAAATATATGCTAATATGAACATCTTTAGATCAAAATACGATAAATCTCACAATTAATCATGAAAAAATTGTATCAATCGAGTCATTTAAATATTTGGGCATATACGTAGACAATAAATTAAAATTTGAGGGGCACTATGAATATATTATTTCAAAAATATCCAAGAAAATAAATTACTTTTATAGAATTTCGCATAGCCTAAGCGTTTATTTTAAAAAAATGTGTACAACACTATCATTCTTCCTCATTTGTTATATTGTTCGACTATTTTGTTCACTGAAAATGAAACTGTATTTTCAAAATTACAAGTATTATAAAATAAAGCTATGAGAATCGTCTTAATTAAAAATAGATATACCAGAATAGATTTTATGCTGAAACAACTACAATGGTTAAATATCAAAAATTTCATAGCCTACTTGGTTTTCATTTTCATATTCAAGTTAAAAAATCATCTTCTACCAAAATTTTATTGTATTGAACAATTATTCTACTAGAGGAAGTACAGACTTTCATTTACAAAATTGCAGTAGCAATATAACGAGCAAGTCAGCATGTCAAAAGGGATTGTACGAATTTAATAAATTAAGTAATGATATCAAGATGTGTGTCAGTTTGAAAATTTTCAAAGGGAAATTGAAAAAACATCTCATGGAAAACCAGAATTCACAGTAGCGAAATTTTGTATAAAAATATGTAGTCTTGAAGACATAATATATTTTGTGATATACTGAGTAATATGGATATTGTGGACATTTTAGCATTAATGCTAAATAAATCTGAAACAAACAAACAAAATAAATTTTCTTGCTGGTATGCATGATTATTATTTGCCGTGCATTCCATTATTATCAGTATTAGGTTAAGTTAGTCGAATTGTATAATGCATTCCAACAGCTTCACAGAGATTGAAGATAGGTATAAACTTTATTATCCAAAAGTTACTAAAAACTTCATGGAAAAATTGAAAATTAATAAAATGGGGGTTTCCAGTTAAAAATCTAAAGTGTAAGGCAATAGCTTATTTTTGGATTACCCTGAATTGTACGACTATAGATGAAAATACTGTTATCCTGCATAAATTAAGATATAATTTGGTAAAAGAATGTAAATATGTTCGGTCGGTAGTTAATGAACCCTCATGGGGTGGTTCTTTGTACTTTGGATGCAAATGATTGTTGTTTGTTCCAACCTAGTTCCAAGAACTAGGAAAATAAATAACAAGTAACTAATGTTGAGTCTCTGGCGTCACAGAAACATTTATTGAACAAAAGAAATAATAAATTTAAAAAAGTCCTGGAGGGCAAGCAAAAGAAAGTTATTTTGTACTACAGTGAAACTAAAATAAAAAACACAACTGAGGGTTCGCCGAAATAGGTGAATGCTCCTCACAGACGTGACTCCTACTTAAATTCGCCTCGGAGTATCAATGCAGACAGTTCCCCTCAGCTCGATAGTTTAGTGTGGTTGTGACAACGGCTAAATCGCCAAGAGGGTGAGAAAAGGGCTCTGACAACAAAACTCACTAATGGAGGTCGATTTCTATCAAAATCTCCGCACCCGATAAATCCCAGCACTGGGTACGAAATTATTTCACTGCCGCAGGTTGTGGGCCGTTGAACTCCTACACGAGAGCACCCGAAAAATGACCTTTCACGAGATGGAGAGTACGATTTTCTACCATAAAATTATTATACCAACAGAAGTGTTTTGTTATAAAAATAAAATTGGATATTTTTAAGAACTACTATAAAATTACCACTCTAAATAAGAAAAACGTTATAATTTACTTTATCAAAATTATAGTTCATTTTTAGTCGTTCATAAAAGGAAACTGAAACAAGACGTCCCCCTAGAAATAAAAATTGCCGTGTCCGAGCGTTTTCCCCAAAATATACCACGAGACTCACAAATGGGGGTGCGGACTTTTCGTTGGACCAATATATGGAATCATATAACTCTATTTAAAATTATAGGGACACGGACATTAGTGAACAGTGGCAAAACATATAGAAATGCCTGACTTAAAACTTTTTGAATCGCTTGCGCTTTGTAGGCTTACTTACAGAAAGCAACGTTCCTTCCTCCTGTAACGTACGGGCTGAATTCCTTCTTCAGACAGGTTAAATTTTGTCTCCATATCTATATCAGACAGTTCTGACTCTGAATCTGGTTCAGTATGGCAAGATAGCTGACTGTCACTTGAACTAAAGCTCAGTTTATCGAGTTCTTCTTTCGCCTACAAGGAAAAGGTAGTTGATTAAATCGCAAACATATTGAAACGTTGAAATGTTCTTATTTGAAATACCGAAGTGTATAAGAGGTTAATACTGAAAAAGTGAAATTAATAACAAAACGGTATAAAATGGCTCGCGGTAAACGAAAAATATAAAGCTTACTATACTAAAACACTAAAATGTATAACTCACCTCCAGTGGTCCAGAGGGCAGTTCTTTCAACAGGTTGAACGAAGCATTCAGCTCTTTCAATTTTGGAGCTAACCACATGTCATAAGGTACATGTTGTAATTTGTTGTTAGATACTACCAACGTAACCAAGGAAGGTAGCCTAAATATTGCCTCTGGAATGTGATCTAATCTATTGTCCTGCAAATATAGTTCTTCCAGTACAGGACAGCAATATCCAAGGTTTTCTGGATTGGCGATCTTTTTTCTGAAACCCTTTTTCACCGGAGACGGTACTGGTACAGGCAGTTTTTCTATTTTGTTTTGAGCTATGTTCAAATATCGTAAGCTGCAAAGTATCAAAAAGATACATATATGAAGTTGTTCAAAAAGCTATGGCAATATTACTAGAACAAGAGGTACATCTAAAAAAATAAAAAGTATTTATAAACATTAAGGACAAAACATGAATCTTCTTCGAATAATGCCGTGGTACAGTAGGATTATCCTAGACCGGTAATGGAACATACAGTTTTCCCAAAACCTCACAAAAACCAAAGGGGGATGAAAATTTGGATTTAGGTGATTGAAATAGCATTCTTTAGCATAACGAAAAGTTTTCGAACCTACCGTAGGCAGGAACTGAACATTTTTGAAAAACTTTGTTTTTTGATTTTTTGCTACAGTCCTGTAAATGTGAGTGACATATAAATGCGAACACCCAGTTTAAATGGTTTTATTTTAATAAAAGTTGGTGAATGTATTTATCTTACTGTAAATAACAAGTGAAAAAATTTTCAGCCTTATCAGTTGGACATTCCGGTTTTTATACTGCTTTTTTTTAATTCACTAACGCTCTAAAAACGAATATTTCAGCCGCAGTAAAGAATCAATGTTGGCGGATTTTGGTTCTTGACATCCTTTACGATCGGTTACGATGCCTAGAGTACGGAGACCTGTACGATTTCGTCAACTTAGTGAGTTTGATAGGGGCCGTATAGTGGGACTTCGGGAAGCTGGACTTTCTTTTCGGGCAATTGCAGTTAGAGTGCAAAGAAGTGTAGACACTGTGGTTAGGGGTTGTCAGGCATGGCTTCGAGAAGGCCGTACGCAAAGAGCAAGGGGCACTGGACGCCGCCGTAGAACAACAGACCGTGAAGATCGCCGCCTAAGATTATTGGCCTTAAGGGACCGTTTCTCCACTACCAGGTCCATTGCAAATGAATGGTTTGCAGAACACGGAAGACCTATTGGCCTGCGAAGTGTTTACCGACGAATGAGAAGTTTTGGCTTGTTTTCATACCGGCCACACTGGGTCCTCCCTTTAACTCGAGAACACCGACGTAATCGCCTTGAGTGGTGCAGACAACGGTCACTCTGGGATCAGGAATGGAACAGTATTGTCTTTAGTGACGAGAATCGATTTTGTTTAGGCATGCACGATGGTCGTGCCAGGGTTAGAAGACGACGTGGTGAAAGGAGGAATCCACAGTTTTTTGTTGAAAGATATGTTCATCACACTGTTGGAGTTATGGTTTGGGGTGCTATAGCTTATGGTTCCAGGTCACCTTTAATCTTCATCAGAGGTAACATGAACGCGCAGCGTTATATCCACGAAGTTCTAGAACCCCATCTTTTACCCTATCTTGACACCCTGGCAGATCCAACTTTCCAACAAGATAATGCCCGACCACATGTTGCAAGAGTCACAATAGACTTCTTTCAACATAATGATGTCACATTGTTACCATGGCCACCAAGATCTCCCGACTTATCCCCAATTGAGCACGTGTGGGATATGATGGGTAGGAGATTGCTCAATTTGCAACGTCCTCCTCAGACTATAGAAGCACTTCGAGAGGAGATTCCACAGGAGGACATTGACCACCTGATCAGAAGCATGCCTAGGCGCGTTGGAGAATGCGTAGCACATCAGGGTACATCCACACATTATTAAAGGTCAAAGGGCTTTAAAGCAGTGCAATCATTTTGAAATTTTTATCATTTACTTATTATGCTTCATTAAGTACTTATACAAAATTTTATTAAAATAAAACCATTTAAACTGGGTGTTCGGATTTATATGTCACTTAATACTTCGAAGTTGAGTCATTTATTTTAACAGTGAGTAGATCTGATCAAAAGAAATGTTTTTATCCTTTAGCATTTTTCTGGTAAAATTAAAGTAACAAAGTTATAGCCCTTTGGAAGTTTGATTACCGCCCTGTCTCAATAATAATATCATGTGCTCGTGTTTGGCAACAACGGATATAATCCGCCTTATCGGTTCATCGCATCGGAAACAAAAAAGCGAAAGAATTTGGAACGATGTTTTTACAATTATTTTATTCAGTTGTATACATACAGTCAGTGTCAGTCGGTAACGCGTGTGAATAGTTGTGTCTGTTGCGTGGCTCAAACGAAATAAAAAATGGCACATGTTTATGCGGATCGGTTTCCCAATCGAGTGCAGCCAACCCCTCGTGCCTTTGTTAATGTAGTACAACGGGCTCGTGAATCAGGTGACTTAAGACCTCACAGGGGACCTCACGATCAAATACAGGTCCGCACTGAAATACTTGTCGGGAGGATACTTTATAAAACAAGGTAAAATTTTTTTTTATTTTTACACACATATTTTGGTTTATCTTCCTTCTACAATCATTATCTGAAAATTAATGACTCAACTTCAAAGTCACCCTGTATAGAAAGAAGTTGTCAAGACCATTTTGTATCTTGATGAATAAGGTACATAGGTTGACTCTACAATATTTTCATATCTGCATTTGTTTACAAGATTTCCTTAGTGCTGGTAACTAAGTACAAAAAAAAATGTTATGAATGTTACGGAATATTTGGAATACAGTGAAATTCGCGGACACCCCTCTTACACAGACACCTCCTTTAAACGAACAGTTTCTCATGGTACCGACCGACTCTCATATAATTTGCATTGTATTAACCCTCTTGGATGGGCATTGTCTTGAACGGACGCGGACAAGAGAGAGAAAATATTCTCATAACCGGACAAAAAGCAAAATAAAATGAAACGCCTAGTCTTATTTTTTTTTCTGTTGAGAGTATCGCTATTGCATTCTCAATCATGCCGCGCGCCATCTTCGCTGGGACTTTTTCGATTAAACAGGGGATTCACCGACTTAATATTTAGGTATACTTTATCTGAAGTCACTTGAAACACTGTGAAATACCGGGTGCGTTTTATATATCTATATTTAACACGCTCTGTTGCTGCAAAAATCGCCAAATTTCGCAGCAAATATCCCCCGTATAAGATCAAAGGCAGTTTCACCGGTCCACGTGGAGTAAAGCACGCCTATGCGTGGACATAGCCAATGAGAAAGCGTGTATTTCAGAGCTCCGAAAAAGTGCAGGTGGCTACTGAAAATTGAAACAGTTTAGCCAGTGCCGTGTAGCGGTGAATAAACGTGTTTTCTTTAGTCTGTCCGTGTTTTTTCATAGATTTTATTAGTTTGTGTGTTTTTGACTTTTGAATACTCAGTTTACTTGTTGATTTAATTGTTGTGTTGATTGTTCTTGTGTGTCCTAAATATGGCTCTTTGGAGACCTTGGGAAAATGCTCCAAGCCACGAGGAGATGGTTGATGAACCTGTGCAGGCAGAATTCTTTCATAAAGATTTAGAGGAACAGACCCAAAGAGTAATCCTAAATATGTATGATTGTCTGAAAAACGAAAATCCAGATTCCTCGCAAAATCAAATTTTAAACAGAATTTGTATCCTGACAAAAATCAGTCGATCTACCATTTATCGGGTTATAAAAAGGGGAGATGTAGTCAACCATTCCTTCCACAGAAAGCGCATAGGGCAAAAATTAAAAGGAATAGACGTGGGTTTTCAGGAAGATATTCGTCGTATAATATACGGAGTTTATAAAGAAAATTTGGTGCCCACGTTGGAAATGATACGGGATAAATTAAAAAATTATCCTGAAGATTTTTATAATTACAAATGCATAGACTCACTGCACTGTATTGTAAAACTGTGTGGTTTTCAATACAAAAAATTAGATAAAAGAATGGTGATTATGGAGTCGTCTCGAATCGTTGAATTGCGCCAAGAATTTTTGCACAAAGTTAAAATCTATAGAGAGCAGAAAAGAAATCTGATTTACCTGGATGAAACGTGGTATGATACCCATGATGTTGTGCAGTACGGCTGGGTTAACGACAGCAACAAGTGCATTTTAAATGCACCATGCAACCGTGGAAAACGAATCATTATTCTCCATGCTGGCAGTGAAAATGGATTTATACCTAATGCCTTGCTGTTATCTGCCAAAAATATCAAAGAATCATGTGCCGACTATCATGAGGACATGACCTCCGACTTATTTGAAAAGTGGATAGAGCAGCAGTTAATACCAAACATTTCCCCAAATTCAGTGATTATTATGGACAATGCGCCATACCATTCCCGACAGAAAAACAAAATTCCGAATACAGGCACAAAAAAACAAGACATTATTGATTTTATGAAGGATAAGGGAATGGAAATACCACAAAAATCAACCAAAGCCATATTATTGGATCTTATTAAAAGACAAAAATTTGAAAAAGAGTATGTTGTTGACAATCTGCTTCAGCAAAATGGCCATGAAGTATTACGTCTACCTCCCTATTACTGCATTTTTAACCCGATTGAGTTGGTCTGGGCTGCTTTAAAAAAAAGTAAGAAAACATAATCAGACCCCTCAATTAAGTGAATCGCTATTGGCCACAATAAGAGATGCAGTATCTCATATTGCTGCCACAGACCTATGGAAGCAGTGTTCTAGGCATATTATTGAAAACGAAAATGAATATTGTGTTTTGCCTCCTGTAAATCCCGTTGTAATTCCTCTACAAGATGACTCTAGCGACAGCTCCGAAGGCGAGGATGATATATAAATACCTATAATGTAAGTCTTTATATACCTTTTTATATACCTACCTGCTATGTAAATATTTGCCTATGTCAAACGTTGGAATTCTGTAATTTTTCCATTTCTTGACTTTCAGTCAACATAAATTAAACTCCCAATATAAGTATTTTTTATCCCAAATCAAAAAAGATAGTAAAATCCATTTATTGTGATATAAAAACATTATTATTATCGTTCTAAATAAATAACCGCCTATGATACGTCATGAAATTACAAAGGACGCGCCGACCAAAGGTTTTTATGCTATTTCAAGTGACTTCAGATAAACCATACAAACGCAGCCTATGCGGACAAGGCATAGTAGGCGACACATTCATTGTAGAAATGACTCCAAAGTATGACAGAGCGGTTGCAAGACCTAGATTGGAAAATGGCTAAAGAAAAAAG